TAAAAATGGGAAGTCATTCTTAGCTCTTGGACTGTACAAAAACAGGTGCCAGGCAGGATACCAGGCTTTGAAGAACACAGCATCCATTCAAGAACACTCACTACTTCCGTGCACAGCCATGGGGGTATGGAGACAAAGGAAAGGTTCTATCCCCAGGAATGCAGGGCGTCAAGGGTAAGTCAGCTGGTCAGGTTCACTCCGGTCAAAAGGAACCCACAGTGCCCCCACCGGGGGGGGGGGGCCACAGCCCTGGCATCTGAAACGCGGGGATTCGGGAGCGCTGTATTAAAGGTACTGGAAAGAGTAAGAGAAACTCAGAGTACACAGGGGTGCCGGCACAGTGCCTAGCCCTTGGCTAGCGGTCCTTAACTGTTCCCACTGTCATCACCATCCACCTCTGCAGACCTGGGAAGACATCCCAAATCCAGTCTTCCTCGGGTTCCGAGCAGACAACTGGGGGAAAGGTGGTGTGTTTAGAACCCACAGAAACATTCCTACATCCGATTGTGAGTGAGAGGAATACCCTGGGTCCCTTTCTCTCTGGTCCCGGCGCACTCTCGCTCAGGCTGCTCCTGCTACTAAGTAACCATCGCCCACCCACCCAAGGAAAGGTCCCCAGAGCTGCAGCCGAGTATCTGCGCAACAGACACCTGCAGCGAGGAGATACCGGGCGGAGTCTCCGCCGGGAACGCGCTGGGCCTTGCAGGGCGGCTGGGGTCAGGGTCTCAGTACTGCAACAGCTCCCACCCACTTGCCGCCTTCAGGAAGCGGATGGCTGATTATGCAAAGTAGTCAAAAACAGCCTTTGCAAAACAAGCCACCAGCATTTGCGGGGCTGAGCCTTCAAAGTATCAGGCCCGACAGCAGCTGAAGGAACAGGGTATACATAAATATATAATCAATAATAGCTAACATTTAAACAGCATTTACCACGAGGTAGGTAATCTACAATTTTAGCGCAACATCACCAATTATCTCACTTAATCCTCACAACTCCCCTAAGGGGTAAATACTATCATTATCCCCATTTCACAGATGAGGAAACAGGTTTGCTGACGTTAAGCAGTCAGTTCAAGTTCGTAGGACTAGGAACCCGAGTCAGGCAGTGTAATTCCAGAGCCTGCCTTTTGATTATCTCTTCCCGTCCCCTCAACCCCGCTCCTCTTGCTCCCCTTCTGGAATTCTCTCCCGAGTCATGCCCGACTTTCCGGGCCCGGTAGAGGCCAAGGAGCAGCCATCCTCCTGCAGAGCAAAGGCCCCACACCTAGGGCCCGGGGTGCGCAGGTAATTGGAGACAGAACAGACTTGAAGACCTGTGCGTGCACGTGCAGGCACCCATGTCTGGGGGTGCACAGGGGCCCCCAGCTTCCTTCCAGACTGCCCTCCAGGGCTGCACCGGAAGACCCTCTGCGCCCCAGTCACCACGGTGCCCGCCCTCAGCCCGCCGAGTTACCCAGTTGCGGGCCCGGAACGCCTGCACGCATTGGGAGCCCAGCGCGCCCCTGCCGCCGTACACCAGCACCCGGCGCGCCTCGCCCGCTGCCGCCGCCATCCCGCTCCTCCGGCTCGGCTCCCGCGGCTCCGAACGCCCCGAGCCCGGACGCTGCGCCCCGCCCCGGCCCGCAACCCCGCCAAGAGGGACCGCGCTGGGGCCGCGCTCCCAGCCGAGCCCGCTGCTGCCGCCTAGCGTGCGACTACACTCGGCGAGCACCGCCGCGCCCCGCGCCCGGCCGCTCCGCCCCAGGGGTAGGACAGCACCCTCTAGTGCCCCCATATGCCACGCACTGAGAGAAGTGATCTCTAAGTGCTATTTCATTTTATTTTGCACAACAAATCCTATGACAGATTGGGAAACGGAAACGTGAGAGTCTCAGGCCATTGCTCAGAAGAGTAGGAATTTGAACCCAAGTCTTCAACAGTGTTCTGCCTAACCACACCTCCATTCTGCACGGAGGAGCTTGGGCTGATTGAAAATCAGTTGATTACCATAGAATTTTGTATTTTTAGCAATTTCTAAAAGTAATTGCTTAACTCCTAAGATACTTAAAGTTGACAGAGGTCCAGGATTTGGGGCAGAGGTAAGATGCAAAGGTACTACGCGTGGCCTGCCTTCTCAACGCGAGCTTAATGTTACAGCAGGAATAACTAATGTTATTGGTCGCTTACGAATGTGCCGAGCACTCTTCTAAGCCTTTTATACGTATTTTGTCATTCATTACCAGAAGAACATTTGCTAAGTCAAGGTCATTGTGATGAAGATCAGCTGTTGTATTTCAAGGACCTGATCTTCAGGACCAGCCCTGACATCCAATTTTCTCATGAGAGAGATGGCCGGGGTATCGCATCTCCTGTGAACCACAAAGGGTTGCTGTCAGGGACAAGCAAGCATATGGTAAAAGCCCTTGTACGCCGCTGCACAAGCTTTGGAGACACTCTTCTTTATTTTCATTGTGGAGAGACCACAGAAGTAAACCCCAATTAGAGGGAAGACATTTCCATCCCCACGTCCCTCTGTCCCCTCTGTGCTCTCCAAGTGAGGCTGCTGGAACTGCTGTTGGTTAACAACGCACCCCCTGAACTCCCTCTGAACTTCTGTGACCAAGTAAGGAATTTTACTCTCCCACTTCTGCTCCACGTTGTCCCCCAGAGCCACTGACAGTCTCACAGGACACAAAGTTGACATTCAGCAACAGACTAAAAGTCAAAATTTTAAAGCCATAGTATAAGATAGAAATTAGGGACTATTTCATTCCATGTGCCTGTAAATTATAAGAAAAAGACATCTTCACTCTTAGAAGAGACAAAGACCCCAGCAGGGTGATGGGTGATTACTATTTGCTAACACATTAGAAAAGCACTCTCCCTTCCCATTTCAGATGACATGACAGCAGGGGATGGGGGTGGGGGTTGTAAGCACTGGGGTCCAGGCTGCCCCAGCAGTGCCAAACCCCCTTAGGTTTAACGCTGCAATTTTACCCACAGCAGACTCACCTAATGATAAATTCAGGAATCATAAAGCCTTGTTTACACATTTCAATTGAAAACACAGATCGCTTCATGGTATTAATAACAGTGCTGGGGATTCTGACAGCAGTGACATTTTAGACAAAGAAATGCTTGGACATGCATCAAAGAGATCAACATTTGATACTGCGCATTGTTGGCGATATTCAAATGCTAATCATTCCATTTTTGTATTCCTTCTACTGTATGCATTTTTTTAGAATGGTTAGTGTCTCTTTACAGTCAGATTTACCAGGTTTTGCCTGCTAATAACTTCCTCATCATTAAGAGGTCCACACCAAGGTTATGTAAATACTTGAAACGCGGAACAATTAAACCGTCGGCTGAAACATTAGTCTGGAGGAAGATATAGGGTTACATCCTTCAGTAACACACTCCTCTACACTTGAGTCAGGTGAAGACCGTCTCTGTAGAGACTTCCGGATATGGCTGTAGTAAACATGGGCTGAGGAGGCAGGCACTGAGGGAGGACCAGGAGATGGACCTGAAATCTTGAATTCGTGTGTTTGAAAGTGCTGACCTTGGAACAGAGGATTGCTGAGTGTGCGGAAGATGTCATGGACCCTCGCTACTGCTCGGACACCTGGGGCATGACCTGCACCCCCTAGGATGCCTGGATGGTTCAAAAAGACGTGGTATGGGCTGGCATCCTTACTCAGCTTCTCCTCCTTCATAATGATCATCATTGCCTTGGCGGTGCCCCACTGGCTGAGTGGGAAAATCCTTTGTCAGACTGGAGTGGACCTGGTCAATGCCACGGATCCAGAGCTGGTCAAATTCATTGGGGACATTTACTACGGACTCTTCCGCGGGTGTAAGGTGCGGCAGTGTGGGCTCGGCGGCCGACAGTCCCAGTTCACAAGTGAGTATATTAGGGGCATGAAAGCTGCTTTAGAATACTTATTTAAATATTCGTAAGAATGCTTATGTCTAAATGTGTAATTCAAGTGCTGCTTCAGTGTAAGGCCTAACGAGGAAGTCCACAGTAAGCCAGGGTTCAGCACTTAGAAGAGACCTTTTTTCCCTGCAGAGGCTTACAGAAACACTAGAAATGGGATCGGTGTATATTTGTAGTTGACCTCTGTGAATAATCACTATTAAAATATTGAGTGCTCACCTGTGTCAGACCTTCCACCAAGTGCCTTTCATGGCGTGTCTCTCTTACGCTTTTTAACAAATGTATAAAGAAAAAAATGTTAATGTTCCCACTTTGCAGGGGACTACACTGAGGCTCGGAGAGGTGAAATAACTTGCCTGGGGTCACTCGGCCAGGAAACAGACCCAGATTTTAGACCCCGGTTGCACACAACGTGGGTATTCTCAGCCAGTCTGGCCCCTGAGTGTAGGCTGCCTGCTGAAAGGAATCTTCCACTTCTGTTTATAGAAAAGCTTCATTATCTGAGAGAAAGCAAACGGGTTCTGCGTCTGGGCTCTGGAATCAGTCTATCTGGGTTCAAAGACAACCCGGATGTTTCCTGGCAGGGAGACCTGGGGCAAGATGCTGGGCTGCTATCTGCGAACGTGAGTGTGCAGACCAACCCAGCGGCCATCCAGTGTCACATCAGAGCAGCTCTGACTGTAAACAGAGAAGGAATCCAAGCCCAGCTTTTGAAGGATCTTCTGGGAAGGAAAAACCAAAACAGAAAAGGCAATATTCTGCAAGCCTTAGAATCATACCGTTCGATCACTGTGAGAACAGCTTCCTACAAAATCTTAACATATGGCAAATGCAGAGAGATAGGAATTTGATTCATTATTTGACTTCTATATTTCAGAATTGTAGTTTTTAGAATCCTGGCCAGGGTGAGTATCTCGTTAAACGTATAGAGACAGAAAGCAGGAACCATTGACAAATATAATTATATAAATTGGCATCATTTATACACATGAAGGATATATGTATTTGTTATGTATGGCCAAAAAAAAAATCTCTGGGAGTATTTATATTTACCCAGAAATTAAATTAGACCAGGCATATTGGGAAAATAGCGCTGTTAAAAACAAAACATAAAAAGCTGAAAACACACAATATAAACAAAGAAATAAGAAAGGAAATACAGAAATTTTTTAAAAGGACATGTTAGAAGGGGACAATGACAACTGTATTCAGTACTTGGTTCTGATCTGGGTCTGTTTGCTATAAAGGATGCCACTGGGACAATTGGTGGAATTTGAACAAGGTGTCAGGATTAAACAGCAGTCATTAGTGTTAACCTAGTGATTTCGATAGTTGTATTGTGGTTTTGAGAGATAATATCCTTTCTGAAGACACAGACCCTGAAGTACTCAGGGATGAAGAGGCAATTTTCCCTCAAGGGTTTAGGAAAGAAAGAATTTTTTTTTCTTTGTACCGTTCTTGCAATTTTTCTGAAGTTTGAGATTGTTTTGAAACCACCCACAAAAAGAATAATTTTAGGGGGAAAGGGCACAGTTTTTTAAATAGTTGTGGATAACTGAAATTAATGAACCTCATGAAAAAAGTTCCACCGCTTGAACAAGGGAGCCACAAATTCAACAGCAGCGATGTTCCAAAGACTTGAATAAGCAAGGCAATGCCCAGGGAATATAATAAAAATAGCCCATACAATTATATAGTATGCTATATCACGTTACCATCATAACCACCTTCTTACATACTAGATTATTTATCTGTTATGTTTATTATTTATTATCTGTCTCCACCTCTTTAGTGTGTAGTGTCATTAGGACAAGGATCTCATCCATTGGTTGATCCCAAGGCCCTAGAACAGTGCCTGGCCCACAGTAGGTGCTCAGAAACATTGGTTGAATGAATAATGATAAAGTACTTTTAAACTCTTTTGTACTGAATGGTCATATGCAAGATGCCAGACTTGTGACCTGTGCTATACTAATAAGGCTCAGAGAGGTTAAGCAACTTGCTCAAGGTCTCAGAGCTATGAGTGCTGGAGCCAGGCCCCAACCCAGGACAGCCAACCCCAAAGGTCCCACATTTCCACTGTGTGTCATTCCTTTGGGAATCTGAGACTGGCAACTTTCCCAAGGGGTACTGTCACTCTAGTAGTCCTTACCATTCTCCTGGAATTCAGCAGAGGGTGTTGGGGAGGTGGTGGATGAAGGTGGACTCTCCAGTGTGGGAGGCGGCAGGGTGGATGGCTCCTGTCTGAAATGACCGACGGGCCACCCAAACAACTGGGAGGGAGTGTTAGTTCCCTAGGGCTGCCGTAACAAAGTCCCACAAATTCGGTGGCGCAGACACAGAAACGGATTCTCTCACAGTTCTGGAGGTTAGAAATCTGAAATCAGGTTGTCAATAGGGCCGTGCTCCGTCTGAAACCTCTAGAGGGAGCCTTCCTTGCCTCTTCCAGCTTCCCATAGCCCCACACATCACTTGGCTTGTGGCAGCAAAGCTCCAATCCACACGTGGCGTTCTCCCGACATCTCTCCACACCGTCTTCTCTCTGTGCATGTCTCTGTGTCCAGATTTCCCCTTCGTATAAGGCCACTGGTCTTACTGGATTAGAGCCCACCCTGGAGACCTCGTTTAAACTCGATTACTTCTGTAAAGATCCTACTTCCAAATAAGGCCATAAGGTGCTGGGGTGGTTAGGACTTCAACCTATTTTTTTGAGGAAAGAACAGAATGCAACCATAACAGAGGGTGTGGGGTGGCAGACAGGGGACCTGGTAGAATTCAGGAAGTCACCAAGCACAAGTGCTGTCTCTGGAGAAGCAGCAAAGCAGAGACTGGCTTTGCAAGAGGAGGAGGGCTGGACAAGAGCGCCCTTCCACTGCGGTGCTGATTAAACCTGGGCATCCCAGCGCACAGGAGGGTGAACCGCCTCTCACTGGAAGCCATAAGCAAATGAACACTTTCTGTTTGCCCCCCTGGAGGGACTCGCTAAATGTCCCTTTCCTTCCTCCCTCTTCCTTTGCAGAGGGATGCCCACAGGAGACAGCACCCTGGGTCCATCTGTGCTCTGCTCTCTGAAGCATCAAAACTGTATGAGGACATTGTAATTTCAGTTCTGAAGACAATAATATTCAAAATAGTTTGTTCCTGGCTGCCCAGCGGGGGGGTTGTCTCAGAAGAGAGTATATGAACATCCATTCACAGTGCCTTTGATGTGATTCTTTCTTAAAACTTTCACCAGGAGCTGAGGCAAGTTTCCTCCCATGTTTGGTTCCTCTGCTTCTGGTCAGGGATGCCGCAGCTGTTCTAACATTCTCTAGCACCAGAATTGAGTCTCTCTACCTCTAGATTTACAGCTCCTCAGCCCCACACAACCTGTGTGAAGCAGCTATGGGGTGTATCGGAATCCCCTCCACCCCAAGCTGGAATCAAGATATACCTGCTTCTGCCACTCACTGTTGACCCACCCCTCTCCACAGCACTCCTTATGCCCCGAATTCCTACTCCCCCATCATCGTAATCTGGTTACTTCTCAATTTTTTATTAAATCAAATCTGGATATGAGTTCACATCATTATGTGGATACAATTAATTATTTTTAAAATTTGCATTGTGTGATTGTGCTTTAATTCATTAAATCAATCTCCTATTGATTCATATTTTGGGTTTTCTCCAATCTTTTACTACCATAGTGAATATCTGTTATATACAGCTTTGAGCACACGTGGGAGTGCTTTTCCTAGTAGTGAAATTGCTTTGATAGATGTTACCTAATTCCCCTCTATGAATTCACCTGTATAAATTAACATCCCTACAAGGTTTGACAGCAGCTCCTTCCCTACACCATCATCAACACGATGTGTTAGCAAACCTTTTCGTCTTTGCCAATCACATAGGTGATGATTTTCTATTTTAAGTGTTTGGTGAGGATCATTATGCTGGTTATGTGTCCTAAGGATTGCACGGGCAAGAATGGGGATAATGAAAAAATTAGGTAATCAAGCGTAAGCTACCATGTTTGGAATGAAAAGGAGCTGAGAGTTTGCAACAACAACAACAACAAAAAAAATCTAAAGGACACTGAGCTATAAGGGAAGGAAATTAAAGAGAGAAGTCCTGCAGAGACAAATCCCTTGGGAAGGAGTTCAATTTTCAGGGTAAAATTTCTGAAGCGGATGAGATAGACATGTGGAGATAAATAGACATGGAAACACAGTACTGGAAAGAAAGTTAGATCAGAACTGCAGATGTTTCCATGGAATGTCTGGAAACTTCTCAGTGGAAAGGATATTTTAAAGGGAGAAGGACAAACATTCTTGCTCTCAGGCTTGGGAGACACCAGCCTTCTATGAATAAAGGTGGGCAGGTGAGCCAGCAAAGGAGCCAGAGGGGAACGGGGTCAGGGAGCGAGTGGAACCAGGAAAGCTTCGAGTCCTGGTTCCCAAGTGGGGGCAAACACAGGCTGGTCAGTGATATCAAGTAATGAACCAGGGAGGCTGAAGTTCACAAGATGGATCCAGATTTGACCAGGAGGTGTTCAGTAGAAACCTTGGAGTAGTTACAGAGAAAGGGGTATGCCCAGAAGTTCTTTAACT